AGCAACGGGGCTAACGGGGATGCCGTTAATGACATGAAGAATTTGGAGCATCTCTGCGCCTATGAGAACTCCAAACTGATTATTACCTTTGTGAGGGTTAACTGTAGGTTGGCCTACGCGCTGTCCTACTTTTACTACGAGCAGTTAAATTTAGTTTTCTTGGACTTTTTAAAAATTTATCAGCTGTATAGCAAGTTCATAAATATGGAAGTGGAGACCAATGGGACGAAGCGCATAAGGCATGCTCAGTTTAGAAATTTATTTTTAATGAAGAGAGAGTTCCTACACCTGATAGAAACCACCATTGAGAGGAGTTGCTACAACATACAGGAATTAGAAGCGGAATTGTTAAAGAGGGAACAGAAGAAGATGAAAAATGAATTAGACGAATCGGTGGATGTACATCTCCCAACAGTGGAGGAAGCCAAGCAAATTAATTTTCAAATGACCAGTAATATACTAAACGTGTTGCTAGAAACGATATTGGTAGATTACCGAGATAGTAATCCTCACATAAAGGATGCTGAAGTTTTTTCTCTGCTCTCTACAGTTTTTAAAAAAATTGAAAATGTCACCTGTCCAATTTTACCTACCGTCTTAAACTACGTCTTATTACCAACCATTGACATGATAAAGAATGATTTCTCTTCCTATCCCGAACATAGGGAAAAATTTTACAACTTTTTAGATGCCTGCGTCAGACACTGTTTTGATTATCTGTTCACCCTAGATTCGGAAATATTCAATACATTCATTCAGTCCCTTTTGTGGGCAATTAAGCATGAGCATCCCTCAGTGGCGGACCACGGGTTAAGGATAACTCACCAGTTTTTACATAACATTATTATAAAGAAGAAGGAATACTTGGAAGAATTTTGTAAAGCCTTTTACTACATAATTCTGAACGAAGTTTTTAAAACGTTAACCGATTCGTTTCACAAGTCGGGGTTTCATTACCAGACGATTATCCTTATGAACATGCTACGCCTTCTAGAGTTCGAGGTGGTGAACCTTCCGGATGCAGAAATTACCAAAGCGCACATAGTGAAGCACGTGCAGACGTTCCTGACCCAGTCCTTTGAGAATCTGAACCAGAAGCAGATTGAGACCTTTTCCGTGGACTTGTTTAACTTTTGCGTGGATTCCCCCTCGGCCTTTAGGTCCTTCGTCCGGGACTTGCTGATCTCGTTAAAGGTGTGCACCGCGTGGGTAGCATATGTGGATAATTTGCACCGTCTGTGTGGTTGCACACCCCTGTACCATTCACGCGAGTAATGAGGCCCGCCCCAGTGGCAACGCCATCATTACCATCACACCTTTACTACCACTATCACCATTTCTCCCGCCTCTTCCCCGTTTAGGAATTTTCGACCAATCAAGATGAGCTATACGAGGCCGACCGACAGGAAGCACTGCAGAGAGCTAAGCTGGCGGAAGATAACAAACTTATAAAGGTAAATAGAAAGGAGCATTTTTCCGGTATTTCGTTCAGTATGTGCATTTTCTGCTGGAGACTCGTCGTTGCACTTTTAAATAAAAAAACGGTATACACGTATTTGGTTTTTTTTTTATTATATTATTTATTATTTTTTTTTTCCTTTGCGTGTTTCTCAGTTGAGAGGATTAATGAAGGAAGACGTGCCAAGCTTTTCAGCCATTGACGTGGATGACGAGTGTATAAATGTGGAATAGTGGAAGTGGAAAGAACTCGGCATTTTGTTGCTCAATTTAGCATCGTATTAGTGTAGTCCCAATTTGGTGTAATCCCCCGTATAATCCCCCCACCTTAGCACATTGCAGAATATCGTAGCATATTATAGCACACGTTGGCAGGTGTTTTCCTGAAATGTCAACGCCTTTTAATGCCTGTTTTATCACCCGTTTCTCTGCCTTTAATCCACACATTGTTTCCATTTTTTTGAATAAAATTTCTCCCTTTTTTTTTTTAATTTCACAAAAACGTTTTTCCCCTTCTTCGGAATTTGCACACGCACAAATACATGTGTGTGTATGTGTAGGAATCATATGTGTATATACTCGTGCATGTGTGCAAATGTGCACGCACAAGTCTACCCACGCGAACTCTGTGTTGTGTGCGTAACAAATGATAAGTAACGGCGATCGCTTATCATTTTCTGCCATCGCATTGTTCTGTCATGAACCCCTCCAGTCCAGGAAGTTCCCCATAGCTGTGCTCTATGAGTCCCTTCTAGGGGGGGTATCCAGATATAAAGATATATGTGTGCATATATGTATATATTTATTTATGCATTTACACCTCCCCCACGAACGTGTCAGCTGTACTATATGACACATTTTCGCATGTCTTGTATAGGACATATATTATGTGTATGTCGTAAGGCATGTGTGCAGATCCATCTGTTTTACTCCCCTCCTAAGTTATATCAACACATTATGCTTATTATTACACCTTTCTTCATAATGATATGTATCATTTTAAAATTTAAAAAAATTCACCCGGACAAATACTCATAATTTGAATGATCAATTGTTTTATGCTTTTTAAATATGAACATATTAACAGTGCGAAGCTTTCGTTGAAGGTTAATTTATTTTCCAACCTTTGAAGGGGCCGTCCATTTGGGGTTTCCCAGCGGAGATGCTTTTTTGCGGGCTGTACGCGATGCCAACGCGGTGATATATGTAGACTCCTATGAGGGGTAAAAATTAGGGGGTAATAAAATTGCCTCGCCCTTGCACAGTGTACATATATTTGTGACCAAATGGCATAAGAGTGGGTCACCACACGTAGATAACGCAATTGTATTGATTTATGGTAATATGTAGATTATCGTAGGCAGCTTGTCATGTGGTAAAAATAAGGGACCGCGTCGTAATGGGGTGAAGTTTAGAATGTAAAAAGACCTCCTGTTGACGCTGCCAATTTCCGCATGGGTGAATTCTTTTTTTTTGGCACCTCTTTTTCTGTTGCTACTGGGGGGTGAACTTTCCCCCTTTCATGGGAAATGCAATTTGGCGAGGAGCGCTAATCGGGTGTTTAAAATGTTCAGGTGTGGCAGATACACAGACATTGCATACATACATAGATACGTAATGCGTTAAGGGACATGCATTTATGCGCATGCCATTTTGTTCTTTCCACTAGCGTTCCGTTCATCGGAATCCTTTGTGATGAAAAATTCCCCTTGTCCACTTTTCGGACGCTAGAAGGAATTTGTGAATTTGTTCCATGAATTCCGCGGTTCATCTTTGAAAATTGTTGAGCTTTCTTACTCGCGCCCATTTTTATGGGCACTCCGTTAAGCTATTCATTGTACATATATGTAAAGCTTTTCTTTTTTATTGCTATTAATTCATCGTTATATGTGTTTATTTTGTTCACAGTTTTGTTCACAGTTTTGTTTGTCCCTCTTTCATTTTTTTTCCATTTTTGTGCTCCGCGAATCCTGTTTTGGCCGTTGGACTTTCTCCGCCTTCGCGCCACCTTCCTTCCCAGCGCGGCGAAAATGCACATGCCTCCACGCGAATAGGCGTGTACATATATACGTATTTATTGATACATATTTAGGCGTATTTATACATAGATATTTATACATATATATATCCAATGGTCCGTGATACGCATACGGACGCATGCAGAATCATATGTTTGCTTTTCCGCACATGCGCACGCCTGCACCAATACGAACGAACTTTTAAGCCGTCGTCTGCTTAATTTACGCCAGTTCTTACGCCGTTTTGGAGTTTAAAAATTAATAATACATTTGACGATAATATTAAATAATCAGGCTCCAAACAGAGCACGGTTGGCATGGCAAGTGCGTGGTTAGTAGTCCGTCGCATTTGTAAATATGTTCATATCTACCCTCGGTAATAAGCTTCTCTTGAAAGGATTTAGTCGCTTTGAAATCCTTCTGCAGTAGGGAATAAAACGGTCAGTGCGCTGTTTTCACAAAAGGGGTCGATAAGAAAAAGAACGTATTCTTTGCATTTAAGCGACATAAGGATTTTTATATCCGTCGATGAGAGGCGAAAATAAAGTTCGAAATGTATTGAGGGGGAAAGGAGCACAGCGCAAGTATATATTAATATGTGTAGTACGATACCGCATTGCCCATGCTTAGTGAATTTGGTGCGCCTAAGAGAGCAGTATTGAAGGGGTTACAGTATAAAATTCTATATGTCGGGTTAAGGGGAATCTTTCATTTACCCCGTTTGTGCCCTTTTTAACGTGACCTCCCCTCCTGTGCTATATAAGGTGTTTGTATAGACCCCTCATTTGGAATTATCTTCACGTGTAGATATTCTAGATTGGAGTTTTCAGTCATGTATCTATTCGAAGGGCATGGCTGCAGAGAAAACTCCGTAAGACCGCCTTGTATTATCAACTGATGCAAATTTAATGTACGCGAAAGGGTCAAAAAGAATAGCAAATCTACCCGAGCGAACGTGCATGCCATGCCCTCACGTAGGAAATAGTCAAGAGGAGACATAGACGATATCCGAACGGGAGTCCTTTCCTGGGCGCCTTTACAAAATAGCAGAGTTTCTGGGGGTAACAACTAGGCGAAAGTTAACGCCGCATAAATGAAGCGTTGAAATTTTAGGTCAGAGAAGTAGGCAGAAATACACACCCGGGTGGTTGTCTATATGTTTACATATTTTGTACATACATATATCTACCCCAATGTATGCTCGAAACCGGTTTAAATAGTCCACTTTAAGGAGGCAAAAGGCAGAAGAGCTTCCTTAGGGTCGTCTCCCCACGCGGCGTCTTCACTTTCGAATAAGGAAAGTGGAACGTCTTCCAACCCAGTGAGTTGCACAGATGACCACGTCCCTAGCTACAGGAGAATATAGATAGGTATAAATACAAGAGCGTATTATGTATATGTCTTCGTGTGCACCTTCTTGACGATCAGTCATTCTTAACTGGAAAGCCCATACAACGAACAGGAACGACCACTGAGCTGTGAAACAACAAGTGAACCCATAAGTGTTCGAAAGGACAAGACAGAATGGTGACACCAAACAACAACATGCCGGGGGGGATTCGAGATTTAGCCTATCACAGGAACAATGGAAACGACGATACGGGAAAAATGAAAATAAACACAAATGCGCAGCAACATAACCCAGTAAATAGCAATATGTGCAACATCTCAAATAGCATGAATAATAACAACTATTCTTTAGGTTTATACATTGACAACCCACAGGATGCATTCACATTTGACGAGAACGACTTGAAAACGTTATTTTCTCATTACAAAGGAGCAAGAAATATAAGAATACTAAGTGATAAGGCAGCTGCTCAAATTACTTTTAATGACAGGAATATGATTCAGCAAGTGAGAAAAGACATGAACGGGCTGACCATTACAGACATTGGCACGATTAGGTGTATTATACTAAATGAGGGCAAAACTGTGGAACAATTTCTCCCCTTTTCTGCCAACGACCCTGCGTCGGCCAAGCAGAAACAGTGTTCCAATCAGAGTGGCGACGACCCAGTCAATATGCTAAAGAAGCTGGCGAACTTGCTGCAACCGGGGCGCGCCCAAGGTAGTAACACGGCGCCGAAGATAAGCGCCAGCTCAGGATCAGACGCAACTGTGAGTGTTAACATGGGTGGAAGTATCGCAACCAATGTTAACGTGGGTGGAAGTATGACTACAAATGCGAACGTCAGTGGGAATCCCATGCCAGGGAAAAACCAAGTGAAGAATAAAATTAGTAACCAGCCCATTTACAACAACGGCGGTAGCCACTTGAACCAAATACAAATGAACGAAGGGGAGCACAGCGAAAACAACCCCTATGCTACAAAGCGGTTAAGTCGAATTGAACTAATTGACATATTTGGTTTCCCCGTAGAATTTGATGTAATGAAAAAAATTTTAGGAAAAAATGAATCCAACATATCTTACATAAAGGAACAAACTAATAACTCTGTATCCATTGAGATAAAGGGGAAGCCATTTAATGAGGCTCCAATTGTGGAGCGAATGCATGTGTCTGTTTCATCAGACGATCTAATAGGCTATAAAAAAGCTACGGAGTTAATTGTAAAATTATTGAATTCTATTTTTGAAGAATTTTACGATTTCTGTTATGAGAGGGATTATCCAGTTCCGGAAAATTTGTCGTTTAAGAGACACGAATATATGTATAACGCCGATGGGAGTACGAAGTATGTAGGATTCAAGGACAAGTGGCATGTCATGAAGGACAGCCATAGGACCGATTACTCCTTTAGAAAGAACAGAGGATTGCAAGAACACGACAAGGACAAGAGGATGCACGGCGGCGTCTTTGGCGGGCACTCCAACTTGAGCATCCACTACGGCAACCAGAATGCTCCACAAGGGGACTTCAAGTAAATGTACGACACAGAGGGGGAAAAAATTGGGGAAAAATATATATAAAGACAAAATGGACCTCCCGAATGATGTGAAAGTGAAAGAGAAAATCCAACTCCTTGCACATTGACCATATTTCACTTCCACTGTTTGCCTTTTTCCCCTCTTCAGGAATTACAGGGAATCCAACCAGGGAGATTTTCGTAATATGAAATTAAACCGGGCGCCAGATCAGCACTTGTGATTGCCTTTATAAGAAGCCATTTATACCGGTCAGGGTAAAATCAATGTGAGTGTTCCAAAATAGTTTGCGCGAAGAACATAATGAGTTTTATCCCCTTGTGAATGTAACTCGTCACGCGAAGAGGCATTTGTGTCAACAGATGTGTGTTCAGAATTTACATCGTAGTTTGTGTTACAGAAGAAAGGAAAAAAAAAGAAGTTTCTTCCTGTTTTTTTTTTTTTTCCTCTTTCGCGACCCCCGGGTTAAAAGTTTACCTTCTATTGACACTTGCAGACATTTTTAGGTTAAAATGTGTACTGTATTATGTATGTACATGTCCATTTTACTTTTTTCTCTTTTTTGTTTCAGTACAATAATTCACTTTTCTTTTTTTGAATTCAATCTTTGTTAAAAATAAATTACGTTCGTTTTGGAATTGGGTTTAAAAATATGTTTATTCTGTTAGCAGTGATGAGAAAAGAAGTTTGCGGGAAAAATTCCTGAACTTTCTTAGGGGATTAAAAATATTGCCTTCGTTCGAATTTTTGGTAAAGTAGTACGATGCACGCTGTAGACATTGCAAAGCCGCGAAGTGGGGGGCTTATCATTTTTCGTTTTCCTTTCTTTACGGTGTCCGATTAAGAGGGCGCGTTTGCCATCCGTGGGGACTTATCCCCCACAATGTGACGGGGGACCCGCAATTTTTTTTGATCGTTTGTACGTCAGTTCATACACACGCACGGTAACATTTTGGCTAAATGCAGAAGTGCTGTGTTGGTAAGGCGCTCGGGGGATCTGTAGACGACCCTTTTATTCCTAACTTTTCTTATCGGCATGGTGAATGCTGATACATGACCATTCTTTCACATTTTATAATTTTCCTTTTGTGTCTCTTAAATGGCTGGCGGAGAAGGATGGGAAGTATTAGGGTCCTGGAAGGGAGTCATATTTCTGAAAAAACCATTAACTGCTTATCGATTTATCCATTTTTCCTTTGTGAAAGTGGAATGGTGAACTATTTGGCGTAAAGAACAAATGGGATAGATGAACAGATATTCGGCAATTGTCCCTTTGGGTAAGCGAACTGTTTGATGGAACCGGTATGGGGTACTAACTTCAATAAAAGGGGTTGCATGATTGCAGGATGAACAAGTGGAAGAAGTTACACAAAGGCAACGGTGAAACAGGCGGCAGTTTACACGTTATGTGTTACTGCTATATTTATTTTAGGCTGAAGCCAACTACGTATTAGTTTGGTTTTCTACCCAGGCTGAAGGGAACAAATTCTTCAGCGTAAAAATTAAATAACGCGAGCAGAAATTTGTACGCGCTCATCACTTGCTGGGGTGAAACGACGCCATAAAATGCGTTACGAAAAGTGATATATATATTATATATCTATGCATGTTCTTCCTCTTTTACGAAGCGGTTAAGAGACCCAGTTGCGGAATAGTCACAATTTATTCTGCGAGATATACGAGTGCCCCTGCTATGTTTGTACAGATTTTTTCCATTTCCCCACTCATTGAGAATCCTTAAGAGCATCTCCTTCTGACTTTTTTGAAACCCCCTTTTTTCGATGTGCAACTGCTTGTTAAATTGCTCCTAAGAGTAGGTTTTCTTTTGTGGTCTTCTAAGTTTAATCAGAAAAGGGGTGAGGAAATTTAATGAAAATGAAAAATCTTGCGCGAAGTCAAGCAGTTTAGTGGATGGTTTACTTTTCTGTTGCCCCTTTTTTTTAGCTGTTTTCTGCGGATTTACCCTTAAGGACAACATGAAAGATCCTCTGGAGTATGTCAACAAAATAAACTTCAACACAAACCGGTTCCCTCAATATACCCATGTAAGTGCGCCCTCAGATGGGCTTATATATATCTCTTGGCGAACGCTTGCCCGTGCCACAGAGCAGTGTGTTGTATAGCCAAAATTGTGAACACTGTACCGCTATTCTTTCCGGTACATTCGCCATTTCGCCGCTTAACTGCTTCCACTGCTCCTGTGTTACAAAAATCCAGTTGATAGAAAGTTGCCCCTCGAAGCATGAAAAGGAAAAGGTTATCCGGATATGCCGCTGCTGGCAATCAACGAAGTTTCCCTACTGTGACGACACGCATAAGGTTAACATGGGAGTGGCGAATGTTTGTTACATTGCCCCGTGAAGCATTATGCATGTGCAATTCCGCGTGAGTGAGAAGATGCATGTCTTTGAAAAGGGCCTCTGAAGGCAACCTTTGAATGGAGTCCCTTTCAGAACAATGAGCGCTTGTGAAGCCGAAATAGGGAGTGCCAAATTTGATGTTCACCTGTCTCTCTTTTCCTCACCCCCATTTTCTCTGTGACTAGATCCTCATGGAAAACGGAGATGATGTTGGGCCGTTTGTAGCCAAACTGTCCAGCTATACATTATCAGATGAAGATAAACTGAAGCAACAAAAGTATAATGAGAAATATATAAAAATAAACAACAAATTGCCAGATGATAAATCTCCTATGTCCATTTTGAAATTTAATTATAGGCCATATGTCAGGAACAAATTCAGAAAATCGCTCATGTTGTCTGCTGTTGTCTTCACTTCAGCCTTATTGTATGATAAAAAGGAGAAGTTGGTTGCCCTTTACTCGGAGCAGTGAAGGGAAAAAGGCCAATTTTTTAAAATATCATTCCGTGGAACGTTAAAAGGAAAACAAAAAAGAAACTCAGAGAAAGCCATAAGGTCCCTTGTCATTGTCGTTACTACTTCTAGGCAAGAAAATCCGCAATCTCAAGTACCACCCCGGCACACGGTATAGCCTCTGCAGGAGTACATAAGGACGTAATTTCCCTAATTGCAGTCTCAGTTATGTTAATAGTCAGGAGTTTTATTGCCGAATCTACATTTCCTATAAAAGTGCAGATATAGGTAGTTGAATGTGCACAGGAAAAATATGATTTTCTGCACCGTGGTTAATTCTTAAAAAAATTCCCACAGGGAAATGTAAACTCCTGTGTGAATTCATTCCCATAGCGCAATACACGGCCTTATAATCGCTATTTCCCCTTTAAAAGAAGGAATTGCCACTTCAACAAAAATACACATACTGTCGGCAATGTCTGCCCCTGACTGGAAAAGGAAAGGACGATATATCATATGCCTGTGAGGACGTACCATTGCTCCATCCCCAATAGGAATACCTGAATACGTAATAGTGACATCCTAAAAGATTTATACATGCGAAAAAAAAAAAGTTCCCCAAAAGGGATTACAAATATACATACACAACTTCTAAAGGAATGGAAAAAAAAATGAGTGCAAACTGAACGCGCAAAATTTTCTCGAAATAGTCGTGCATGCATCTATGTATAATGGAAGTCTAACATGTGAAATTACCTGACGGAACCACCTAATCGGGACAGATGCACACAACTTCAGTGATCTGTACATACGAAAACATCTGTGCCATATTTTGGAAGATGGACACTAGAACATCTTTGATATGTTTAATGAGAGAAATTCGATCCATAGTGTACAACACCAACACAGAAGAGACCAAGAATGTTTCCAAGGAAATATAGTGTACAGAAATGACGAATTCAACGGGGAAACATATACTGCTTTAATACGGAGGCAAAGAAGTGTATGGCACAATTCTGTTTCAAAACAACACGCACGTGTGGGGCAATACGGTCAAGATAGTTGGTTTGACGAATTTATCCAGCACTACCAGAAGAAAACCGCCAATTATGTAATACATGAGACAAGGAATAAGAGATCAACACCAGAATGCCATAAGGCGAAACACAAAGTGGATATGCACCAATCGTCTGTACTTAGAAAAAGAGCAATAAATACAGAACTGGCGATACCGGTACTTATAATCCTTCCAGATGAATGCGGAGAACAATAGGATTCACAAGACTTCGAGCTGTGCCTGAACCTCATATAAGAAAGTGTTTCAAAGCAGAAAATATGGGAACGTCCCCATACATGAGAGATATGGACAGAATTTTCTTGGACTGTCCAAAGAAGAAAGAAACTATTCAGTATACAACGGGAGGGTTTAAAAGAGACCTATATGAAGCCATAGACAGGGAGTCACACAAAGACGCTCACGACGAAGATAATGACGTAGTGAAAGAAGACGACCTCCCCGGGAGAAATATACCACGGAGACATGAACGTTACATTGGAACTGATACTCATACCACTCCGCTAAATGGCTTCGACCGAAGAAAAATTTCATAGATACAGAATACATGAACCGTGGGAGGAAGTAAAACCTGGGGAACGGAGGAGAGACGCACACCCAGGAAGAAAGACACCAGATAAGTGAAATATTTAACAGATTAAGAAGATAATGAAATTAACTACAAAGAGCAATTACAATGCGAAACACATGTCAAAGGAAAGTCACCAATTCTGATTCATCGTCTGATGAAGATATATAAAGGCGCAAAATATTTCATTTACAAGTCTACGCGCCATTCGTCCCGAAAGTGGGTGCTGAAGAAATTTCCGTAACATACAACGGACAAGAAATGTCAAAATACAAAATGCAAAATTTTCTATTTGTAATGATCCTTCTAAAAGGTGCCTCATAGTAGTCCACTTATTTGTCCTCTAAAATACTCATTATACATAAGAGCCTAGACACATACGGAACTATTGGAAAAATATTATTGTCCATTTGTTTTACTTAATGATAAACATGGCATATGTGATTCGGTATCTCTCTGCACCTACTAAATTGGGCGACACTCTTCTATCGGACACACGGAAACGTGGAATTTATAGAAAATGCTTAACTCCACCCGGACGGTTCTGTACGAAACAGGGCACAACCCACTCAAGACACCGCAGTAGGAATCATACATTGATAAAATATCCTTAGAGATAAAATCATGAGTTGACAGTAGAAAAAGAAGAAGAACTAGCAGATATAAGTACTACAATATTCTCGAAGTCCAGGATGTCCACTACTTACATATCAGATCTGTCTGCCGTAAAGTTGTAATTACAAAGCCGCCTATCATTCATTTATCAACATAAATAGAAGTTATGCCATTTTTTTGCCATATCTATTGCTCCAATGAGAGAGCAATTAATGTATTTGTTACTGATAGAATTGAGGGCGTTCTTAGTAGGATGGAAAAAGGAGGAACTTCCTGCTTATATCCTTAGGAAACGGGATTCATCAAATTTGACACGGAAGAGGAACATTTAGAAATATGGTGTTTCTGGACCAGGTATGTTTGTGTCTCAATAGTGATCATGATATAACCCATCATGTAACATACCACTGTTTTTGTCTATGACCTTGCTTTGTTTTACCAGCATATACATATATATTATGGTAATCCTTGCATTATATCAGAATATGTCAAATTACAGGGTGACTCAATCTTCTGATTTTTCTTATGATTCGTCTGATATCTACTGGTGTATTCGTATGTACGTGAAAACTGACATCTTCACCTTTCTGCTATAATCTCTTGAATGCGTATCTTGTTTAGTGAAGTATCGCCCTCGTTCTTCTTCTATCCCGAAGCTGTTATATTTTGAATCTGCTCCGCCCAATTCTCTGTTTTCTTATATTCGTCGCATCGGGACACTTAATGTAATAAAAAAGTAAACAGGATTTCCTCATCCTTTATCACCGAAATCTGGTATATTGCGCCACGGAAAGATTCCTCAGTTGTTTCTTGGTATATATATTATTCCACTCTACGGGGTCCCCCCATTTCCTCTTCTAGTTCTCATTTTTTTTTTATTTTCCACCTTTTATTTTCTTTTTCTTGTCTTTCTTTCTTCTTTTATTTTCCTCTCTTTTATTTTCTTTTTTTTCCTGCTCTTTCTTTTTTTTCTCTTTTATTTGTTTTCTTTCCTTTTTTTTTTTTTTTCTTCCTCTTTTTTTCTTTTCTGTTTTCTCCTTTTTTTTTTTTTTAATTCTTAATTAACGAAACCGTTTTAATTTTACCCCTTCTATTTCTATCTTAAAGTGTGGACACCTCTTCATAAAAGGGCCTCTTCCTTGAGTTTCTACTGGATTCTACTCTCATGTGTGTTGACAAGTTAACACTCTGTATCTTCATCGCGTTGTAGTAGATTAAAGGAAGGGCAAATCTTCGATGTAAGTGTCTCTCGTTTTAAGGTAATATTTATTCATACTATACACCCTATACCACTCCGCTTTCAACATAATTTAGGTGTAAAAGGAAATTAATCCATGGTTATTTCCGCTGAACAAGGGCAATTCTGGAAGTTTTTTTCTATCAATCCCCCCTAAAAAGATATATGCTACAGGGGATGTAATTACAATGCTAATAAATATATGCTTCCATTCAGGGAATTATGCTCTCGGCCTATTTAAACATACAGTTCATTTCGAGAACAACATAGAACGTGTTATTGTTTTAAAAACATTACAACGGATTCGTGAGAACTAGAGAAACATTACCGCGAAAACACATGTTCTCCGTCTTGTGTACGACATATGGCCTGTTTAAAAACGGAAACAATTATATTCTAAAAATACGATAACACTTTCCTCAGACCTCCATTGAATGCACAGCCCATGTAATTACAACTCCTTACTTCTATTTTATCGGTGATGCGAATTTTATCATTAGGGAAACGAGAATCTACTTCAGCTATTAATAAATACATGATCTCTCTTCCTTCAGTTCGATGCGGCAGTATAATACGAAACAATAGCTATAGGAGGACGACTCCCTGGGGGGGATTTAAAGACGGAGTTAGAGCACGAAAAATGGAACTTCCCTCCTTCCGCGTATTTTGCCTCATTTATAAAGATGTAGGAAACTCGCCAAAATAGCCTCAAAACAAATAATTCATAACTGCAGAAATAATAGATTCACTTCTCAATTCTTATGCTTCCCTATGAGCCTGCGAACACGAGAAACTGGGGCATCGCAAAAGTTAAGATTGATGAGGTCGACTCCAATGATCAATAAGGTTATCATCGAATCGTAATGAAGATTTAGAATGGAAAATTTCGGACTCGCACTTCTTGTTTTCCATTAGGGTTCTCTTTCCACATTTTGTATGTGTATGAGAGCCTTGACGGTACATTCCTCCTATAGAGGCCCTTGTGATATCCACTGATTCTTAATAATATAAAAAGGACAGATGTCCTGATGTGGCATGACACGTAACTATAGATTGTTTCTACATCTCACGTTTGATCCAGGAAATATGAACAGAACACGATTAAAAAAGAATACATAACAAGTGAGCGCGTTACTCTCAAAATACCGCTATTCTTGCCCCCCTTCCTCAAAGGGACCCTTCCCATTTAAGATGTGTCATGTTAACATGAAAATTAGCGTGTCTGGAAAATAGCCTGTAATGCACAACTGAGAGAGGGAAAATGTCTTAATCAGAGGAGTATCCCTTTAAAGTATATAGCTGAGAGCGTAAAATGAGCATAAAGGAGAAGAAATTACACAATAGGGCGATTCACTTCGGTCAATACCAGAAAAAAAAAAGAAAAAAAAAAAGGCCCAGTCACACACAATCCCAACTCCGGGGGGAACACACATTCGCGCTATTGCTGATACCCTTGTGTTAGTACCGAATGAATATATATTCTTTCAAGAATAGAACATGTGCATTCCATGCCTTACAAAGAAATACCGTCTATACTAATAAAGCGACACTCGCTCACCACTTCAGAAGCCTTCCTGTCGCCCCGAAGGTGCTGCACACTGTTCACGTGAAACTTATAATCCAATCAAGGATTTTTCTCGAAACCTTCTCATTCTTGAGCTTCCAGATGACAAAACACATTATATCCTCCAGTGTGTACATCCCCTTACTGCTTATATGAAGGTGCACGTAAAACCCTAAAGATACACCATAGCTCCACGGAATATCCTTATTAGAATGAATAATCAGCACAAAAATATAGTTGGGCACGTGTTTCCTTGTCTAAGTTCCTGATGCCTCTGGAGAACTCATAATCGAATATACACAGGATTGCCCCCTTAGGTGGAATTTTACCATACAGAGCAACATACTTCATATAAGGATACATTTGAAGGCGATATTTGTTAATAAGTCTCACTGTTGGAGACTAATGAGCAGTGAACTTCAAACGTAGGAGGAGCACGCGGAAAAATGAAGACGCATTCTTGGCTGGTGGCTCCTCCACAGTTATGATGCGAAAGATGAGGATGCACCGCCTGATCCTTAGCCCTGTATATTTTATCTGCGACATCGGTAGTATTTGTACCATTCTTAATGTAATATTTTTTCCAACACATAAACCGGCGATCTAAGCGCGAAGGGACCTTCCACTCTATATGAAGTCACTCCAGAATGGTAAACTACAACTTGGATGGTAAGAATTACCACAATTTCAGCTATTTTGAGTGTCCTTAATATATTGCATTACAGAATACACAAAGTGGTCAAACTTTCTTATATTATCCCTCAGCTTCTCAAAGCCTTATTTAACAGGAAAGGGGCGTAATCCTAATCCAAAAACGGAAAATCCAGGCTGATTAAAATATTGTACCTAACCATTTTCATGGACACCGTAATTCCTCCCATCCTGCACTAGGGCTTTATCGTCTTTTATTACGCTTACATTTTGTATTAAAAACTTGAGCGTCGCATGAAATTTGATTCCATGAACTAGTATTATAATGAATATACGGCCCGTTACTGTAAATCCGTAGCTTCCTAGTAGTAAGTTATCATTATTAAAAAATGAATCAGAGTTTCGTGGGCCATCACCGGGAGTTCCCCTCAATGAAATTTCTCTATCGCGTGAATCCCTTTTGACCATGATATCAGTTAAAGAAACAGAAAGATAATACTACTAAATATTACAAAAGGGGTGGGACAATCAGAAACAACAGAGAGCCGTTATGCCCCGCGCCAAGTAAATTTAGCCGAGCATAACTTAAATGTCCCTCTTTGCAACAAGTGTTTAAAAAAAGCATTACAGAATTGACCGCGTCACGTGTTTAGGAAAAAATGAAATTATGAGAACAAATTGGCATATTAAAGAGAGGAAAAATAAAAAAAACAAAAAAAAAGAGGAATTTCAGTTTATCATAAAATGAAAAAGCAGACAAAGTAATTAACCAACATTAAAAGAGAATGAAAGAAATTCCAACTAGTATGACGTCCAATGGATTCTTCCAAAGGGTGTTGTAAGCATATACTTAATTCGATGGTGATAATTAAAAAAAAGAATCCTTCTTCCTATGATGGGCAATGCAACTGGAATTACGTTTGTACGTAGCTCCATTTTTAATAATTACCCAGTTAGTTCCGCTTAGAGGAGGGTAAAGCTGGAGTACTTCTTTTATTATCTCAGGCCTTTTGAGACTGTTTCAAAATATTTCCTCTACTCCAATAACTGCACTAAGCGTTTCTTTGAATCTCCAATTTTCATTTCGTAATTCCTCATTCCTTGTATATGTGTGAACATAGATTAACATTGTTAAATACTAGGATGAACACTTCACACATCACATAGGTTGTATTGTCTCGCAGGCTGGAGAAAACTATTCTTCCGTCGGCTATCATGGCATCATTTCGTCTGGGGCGTAAAATAATGCTCCTTCCTCCCAAGAAATCTATATGTTAGAAATGGGGAATCTTGATATTTATGCGAGAGTAGACAGTGACATTGGATTCCATAGAGATCGTCTTCTAATTGTGTTTGGTATTGACAAAGACGTTTAATATTTATCATGCGAATATAGTACACAGGGCATGAATTACTCATACAGATCCTGAATAAAAAACGGACTCCCTCATGAGACACAAACAGTAAGCAGAGGGCTTCTCATGGATACTTTATATAGAAAAAAGGAAAGTATTTATTTCGTCTTTATTGTACCATGTGCCCATTGGAAAATGGCAATTTATCCCTCCCCCAACGCTTCATCGAAATCACAGATATGCAGATATGTTATACATTCTTGTTTCATTCCGAAGGTAACTAAACTTAATATTGTTGCATTGTACTATCATAATCATTAGAATCAGGACAGATCGAAAAATATAGAGGTCACGTTCAAATCGTACATGATGCGTCTTGTCTCTGTTTCTTTTTTTTCCTTTTGAAACTATTACACATATGTCTCTGTACCTTCCCACAGATGTGCAATTTGCATCCTAAGAATAAATTCCTTGTAATTCATTTCCAGATATATGCGTGTTCATATTTACCCGCATTTTGACAGGTGTCTGTGGTACTCATTCTGTTTCTTAGGGCCAGTTTGTAAAATAATATACCCCAGTTCGCTCTTGCCAAGTTGAAGCGTGTTGACGGACACATCAAAGCTACCTCCTGAACCCTGAAGCCTAAACTTTTGTTACGAAAGAATTAAAATACACCTCCATGCTTAAAGTAGCGCAGCCACTACCACTATCCTGCTATGTTCTCACGTAGAAAATGACACTCCTTTCAGCAATTATTTTTTCCCATCAAGATATACACATCCGTTGTGTTCAGCCCTTAGGAACTGAGGCATAGTCATAGTGATTTCTGCCGCTTTCACTCTTTCCAAATGTATAAGCTTCTGTGTTCCGGAATGGTTATTTCATTATGTTATATATGATCATACGATACATTTAGGTCCAGGCCATTTGACTATACGTCATACATTTCTGATCTGGGGTACATGGTTAAATAATTTTCTTGTAATGGATAATCATAATATGTTGCTCCTGTTTTCATCTCATCCTGTATTCATCCGCCGAAAGGTATGGCCCCCCAAGTGAATAAAACATATTTATGAGACCGTTGTCCCTGATTCAAAATTAAAGAAGACGATAAAAATTAGAGACTTCAATGGATACATTACTAATACTTTGGATAAGCACAAATTCCTATATGATAGTACAAATAGAATGCATACACCAATGCGAAAACTATAGCATCCTTTATTATAATTCTTCCAGTATTGGATGTGAGTGTACTGTTTTCCCGTTCCACAGGAAGGGACAAGCGTAATTACTGTTTTGTTAAACTTCCGATCACAATGAAAACCTTAGTCACTTCATGTTGTATCTGTTGTCTATCCTTTGTTGGTTCTAACGCATTTACACATGTAGCAATGTCACCTGATGTTCCAAATGGACATTCTACTGCTTGCTCCTTGGTTATCGCCTTATTTCATTCGAACTTAAAATTCTGCAGCTCCTTCTGCACTAATGGTTGCTCACGTAGCACACATTGTCATAATAGAGGCCTATATAACGCAGGTGCTCTTCATAGGTGCTCCTGTAACGTATTTTTCTGCTTTCCTAGGGACTTGTGTATCAACAAATGCTGCCTGAACATTCGCCGCAGGACCTGCGGAAACTTCGTTTCTACTATGGGGTTCTAGTCTGTTCTATTATTCGATGCCGTAGATTGGGGACGGATTTCTCGCTCTTAGACGTACCAACGAATGGACTCCTAAGATTGCCATCTGTCTTTAGAAGGCGAAGAACCCTTTTGCGCCGTTGGACTTTCGTTGTCTCTAGGATTGTTTAACGATATGTTAAGTCATGATCGCTTTTTCGAACTCTCTGATCCCAGACTTTCTGTACGAGGAGTATTCGGAGTCGATGGTTCCGGATGGGTAGGTATTTAGACAGCGGCAGAGACCATTACTGAGCATCCCGATAGAGTACCTTCAGCAGTTCAGGTATATCATCAACTCAGGGCTTCTGTATTACTATCCGATCTTTATGCCTTACATCTATTCCTCCACCTGTCTAGAACATGCCCAGGGATGTATTGTTTGTTTCCCTGTTTAAGAAATTCATCACGAATATTATTGCATAAATCCAGGAACTCAATAGAATGTACTGCATAGTCAGCATATAAGCCTCCAATACAAGTAATATATTTATTATAAGACTCCTATTTATCCCCTGAATGGATATTACACAGAATATATTCAAAGTCTCTAAGATGGTTACACAAGGAAATATTCTCTACTTCTTCTTTCAAAATTTGGCATTTGTTGTTATTAAAGGCATATTGACAGCTATAATGACTGCATCCTTTACGGAGTCCATCCAGTACATTCAGAAAATTTTTTATATCGTTTTTTACATGATTACGATCGTCCTTTTTTGTCAGAAAGTATTACCTTTGATCATATGTTCAATACTTGTATCGTGTACAGGCGTCTTGCTGTCTAATACACTCGGATAGTTCTCGGCCTATTCGATATATCCGCAACACTCATTTTACCAACCCAACAAAAATCAACAGGATTCGATTTTGTGTGTCGCATACATAACATTTATAATATGTTCAATATTATGAAAGGAAAACTACTGGGAACTCATAAATCCACTCTTCCACTTAGAAGAATACAGGATATCGTGTACAAAATAATAGTACGTCTCGCGATAAAATCTTTCCAAATTTGAAGGGACTCATGAGCCACGGATGACTGTCCTTTTTATGATATGAAATAATTACTTTTACTCTGTGGTGTCGAAATCCTGCGTACGAGGCATCCTAAGATTTGTACTTAAGATATTAACCCTTCGTTTCGTAATTCTTTATATAAGTTATATTTTTCCCCCCAAAAATCATATAAACCGCATTTCGTAACTTCCTTGAAATAATATGAAACTCAGAAATTTTCATCACCATTTAATTTTTCTGAGAATTATTTTCTTCTCTCAAAAGTCAATATTATACATAACTTTGTGGACGGAATTTTTCTTTAAAGGTTTCTCACAATTGTAGAACAATATGAAAAAACACAGTAAATAGTATGGCTTCTATATTGTCATAAGAATGCCACATGATGGAGAATGAATGACATTCCATATAAAACAAGTTTATCTGCCGCGAAAAATCATTCTCGATGTAATTTCCAATTACTTTCAAATCCATCACAATTTAAAACTACGTAACTGCCTAAGCCCATTTTTCTTTAAGTACATAACAGATTAAAATGTTCCCATTGTGTTCGTTCTTCCAACTGTCTCTGTAATTCAAAATTAAATATTCCGAAATTACGTTTACTGGGAAAAATTAACTTTATAACAGGAACATATCTGTTATTCCTTCTAAATAAGATTACAAGAAGAAAAAAGCTCTATGTTCAATAGTTAATTATATCCCAGAAAGAAGGAATCGTCTTGATATTTTTTAGTAAGTAAATCTATATATCTTTATAAATATATTAGTACTCAATAGTAGTTTTAAAATATAAGTAATCGCACTGCCGAAAAGAATAAAAAAAAATTCTGAGCATTCAATTCTAAGGTTGCTTAGTACATAAGAAAAAGAGCATACTTCAATATTTATGGTACTCATGGAAATTTTTTACTTCAGTTTCCTATGTTATCTTTATAGGAAATATAGTGACTGCTTTACCTTCATTGTAAATGAGATAATAGGACGGAATATTTAAACTTCTATGTCAATTCCTGGCAGACATTGTTAGAGTGAGGGAAAAATAGAACTTCTTCAGCATATAATGCCATCTCTTAATCATTATATTGTCTGCGTATTTTAAGCATCTTCCCATTTTTAATGGTAATATGAAATATATTTCTACGTGATGCGAAATGGTAGAGGCTACAGGTTTTAGGTGATCCTGCACAAATAAGGTACAGCGTTCCGCAAATGTATGGTTGTATGCATAGAGGACAACCCTTTACGACAATCGTTCCATCAGGAATAACTGCGAAAGGACTTATTTAGAAAATATATTAACCACGCTGACTTCCCTCCTGTTAGTCATTAATTTCTTTTATTTTTATTTTTTCCCCTGAGTACTGATACTCTTTTGACTATATCGTCGTGACAACACCTCGATATCATTATTCATGTGCTTGTTCATAGGTCTCCGCAAATTCTATACGTGTAAAATAAATATGGGAAGCTCGGGAGCGCATTATAAAATTGCAATGTTTCATTACTCTCCTATCCAAAAGGGACGCTTAAAATATAAATTACGTAATGCAGCAGCATCGCAAAAACCGTAATCACCATAAGGAGTGCCATCAAAATAATAAATATTACATAAAGAACTGTTTCCTTACACATATGCATTGGATGTATGCATACAATTATAAAGCTCGATATTTTTTCCTAAATAGCTAAGTCGTCCATTACATGGTAAGTGTTCCTGTTAGTGCACCACAAATGTGACAATATATACTTAGGACGGTTACAACGGAAAAGAGAGAAAAATACTACTTCAGAAAACAGTTACAATAAATCAAATAATTCAAAATCTAAATAATACGTAGCTGTACAGTACAAAATTTGAGAAATATCCTTGAGGATATTCTTCCCTGTGTGTGTTAAATATCTCTTTCCCTTATTTCATAAAAGATCATAAAAGGTCGTTATAGAAGATGTTCAACATATGACTCTCAATCATACCTCCATTTATATAATATATTGTATAAAATAAAAAATGCCATATAAAAGGGGCTATCCAATGCAACTGCTACGGATACAACATTAATTCTACCGATGCTGATGCATACAAGATTCGGTTCAATTATTTACATAATTTTATTTCACTGTTACGATATCTTGGCCGTCGAGAATATATTCATGCTGCAGTACAATACACCTAATTAATACTAAATCACCTAAGCTATTCTTAGGTTTCATAGATTACAATCAAAGCACTAATATAATTTCATGCATTACAAGAAACCATAGAAGTTTATAAATAATCCTGATAAAAAACACATCAAGGAACGTATTGAGTTGTGTACATCTTATATATTATCAGGTTATTTACATCATACAATATGGATGTAGGAGCTGCGTAAATAAATAAAGTCTGTGCGAAAATATACTACCTCGCGCACACGACGCAAATAATGGGCAAAGGATTGAAAATAAATAATTAATTATTAATACCGCAACATTACAAAATATACGTGAACTGTATTTAACAGAAAAAATAATTTCAGTGGAGGAAAAAAAAGAACTTTTAATTAAAAACACAATTCTTAATTTACTGCCCACTGCATCAAAAAAGAAAAATATGCACTAGGCGCAGAATAAAATGTAAAAACAACAAAGAATTTTTAATGAAAATCGGTGTAAAAAGTTTTTTTCTTTGTAATTCATTGCATTTATATGAAAAAACTGCATGAAATCCTTTGCAACTATTATTTTTCCGGGGGCAATATAATTGCTTTTCTTGTAACAATTAAAATTGCAATTCATTTATAATTTCTATTCATAGTATTCACCCATAACAGCACATATTTACAGTACACATAATTATTCGGTTCACTTACACACGCGAATAAATAAAATATATAATTCATTTAAATTTTTATGATAATAATTACTAATTATTCAACTCCCAAATGTGCGCCCCGTAATTAATTTCCTTCCTGCTGAAATAAGCATATTTACGAGAAAGAAGAAGAATAATCGACTTTGAACGACATAGAATAAAGTAATCAGTCTATTCTCATCTTTCATGAAAAATATTTACAGAGCCTTTTATAAAACCATTAAACGCAATTAAAGTGCACAAAATGTGTGCACTCAACGCACAGTGTTTATTAAAGAATTTCACATTGAGTGCGCCGTCCTGTATTTCTAAACTTTTTTCCATATGTGAAATATAACCAGAACAGAAATGTATTGCACGAATAAATCATTTTATGTGTAACCATAATTATAAAATAAATTTATACTAAACAGAACAAAGTATTAATTTATAATATGCAAATAATACCCTTCCTCAACTCCAATAAAGCATAACATGTCTTAAGCTTTATCCTGTAATGTATGAATTGCACCAATAACTCCAACGCGAAGTAGTAAGAGATAATAATCCATTTTTATTGCTAACAATCAAATTTATAGTTGCTCCAAGGGAGAGAAAAAAAAAAAAAGAAAAGGAGAAAAATAAAGAAAAAATAAAAAGAATAATAATAAGAAAAGAAGAAACTAGCAGAAGAAAAAAGGAGAAAATTATAAAAAAATGGAAAAAATAAGAAATAAAGAGAAAACAAATAAGAACTCCAATAATTCCTACGATAGCGCTTTCGTGAAAACAGCTTATAACAATGTATACGTCAGATATCTATACGTAATTCTTTCATACTTCAGCGGCCCCATTACAGAGACACACGGTTAGCACATTTTTCAAATGATTGATTTTAATTTTGATATATTGCTCTCCTAAAGCTCCGGCAGATCTGTATTAATTTTTCACTATTACCAGGCGATTTATGACTAAATGTAATCGACTTTGCTTTGTACATCATCTACTTTACCAATTTCTACATTGCATGCGGGACTTCACAATGACTAAATAAACCTCTTCCCCAAAGAAAAAAGACAATACAAGCTGTACTTCAAAAGATATGGAGATAACAGCGAACTCATATTACCTACGGGGAACGAACAGCATTTCTCATTGTAGACTTAATTCTTATCTTAGGAGGTTCCAGGCATCAGATGCCACATGCACGCACCACATTACAGCTAATGCTATTTCATATTTCCTGGAGATCTCACAACTATCCAGTTTTTGTACATTGGACAATGAAACTACGGAGTTGACCATAAAGAGTATTATTAACAAATCCTTGCGTCTACTATATACCTTGTATGTCCATTTTAGGACATAAGTAATATGGAAGCATATGAAAGATACATTCACTCATTAAGTTAAATGTTCTTTCTCAACTATATTCTTATAGCCCTCCAAATGTATGCAACTTCAACATCAATATAAATGATATGTTCCTTACCCCTATGAGGACATTCCTCAAAATGCCGAGTCCTTCGAAATAGTGTACACACAAATATGTCATTCTAAAGAGGAAGGTAATGAATGTCTTTCACACATATTAGATGACATGTGCAAAATGAATTAACGAAAAGACGTCTGATGGACTATTCGGGAAATTGATGGAGGTTTTATCAGCCAATAAACATTTCGATCCTTACTGAGCTTTATTTAAATATTACCATGAATGCAATACATCAAATGAGAAGGATTCCATGTTTCCGCAGAATTATTTAAAATATAGATTTTCAGCAGACGAAGTCAATGCAATAATAAATATTGTTCATTCTACGGTTCATACGAGTACAACAATTTGC